TGGGCGACCGACTCGCGCTGGCAGCACCGCGGCCCGTGGAAAATGGTGTCCCTTGCCACGCCGCGCAGCGGGCACAACGCGTCATGCATGATGTAGCCGTGGTCCTCGACTCGAGCCTTGGTCCAGGGCGCCTGGCAGACAAGACCTCTACTGCACCCTTTCTCGAAGGGAGTGAATGTTGAAGAACTCATGGCCGCAGGGGCCGCGTCGAAACAGACTCTACGGTCCAGGCCCAGGGGCCGCCCATAATCACGTCCCAGATTCCTCAAAACAGCAGCACGGAGGAGACGCTTCAGGAGGCAAGGCGAAACCAGGGCAAGGGAAACTTCCACCCCCAGGTCGTCGACGAGCATGCTGAAGCTCGGCATCTTCCACCCAAGACGCTCCACCGAGAGACGAAGGGCCCCGACAGGGCCGCGCACGCGACGCCACGGCTGGAGAGGCCCCGAAAAACCCACAGCCCAGGCACCGCGGAGCTCGGCCAAGCTGAGGCCGAACTGGTAGGCCCCCACCAGGCAGGCCCAGATCTCTTTGGACCACCTCACAATGGGCGCGACGGACGCGTACCAGGTGGGGTCAGCGGCAAACAGCAAAGCTGCCGTGAGAGATCTCCCTCCAGCAGAGGGCTGCAAGAAACGACCCATGGCTCTCCGAAGGGTGAAAATCTCATGGTCCGAAGTGCCGTGCACCCCGCAACCGGAGGTTCGGCTGGCAAGGGGCCCAGTCGTGAAAACTCGACGCGAGTGTCGACCGAGGGTTCTCTTATGACGAGTCAGACGAGCAACCTTGGCCGAAAACAAAGTCTTACGAACCTTAAACCTGCCTCCTCGACGAGCGACACGACGGGGCCTGCCAGCAGCATCGTCGATGCCGAGGTTGACAGCGGAGTCACACGGCGCTCCGCCCACCGCGCCAAGACCGCGGCGCACGGCCTTAGCAACAGAAAGATGCGAGGCGAGAACTGCCGCCTTCTTGACAGCGATCGCGCAGCCAAGATCGCCCTCGATGACCACTTGCAACTTAATGGCCCCCTCCAGGAGGTCACTAACGACCGTCGGAGCGGTCCCTTGGCACGACAAGGTGTAATCATCGAAATATATATATATATATATATATATATCTTCAACGAGACCGATCTTGGCAAGCTAAGCCCATCCCAGGCAGCTAAGCTGAAGACACGGATTAAAGTGGTCGCGAAGCCGCAGCCTGCCACAAGACCTCGCCATGCGAACTTGGGCCCGATGACCCTGCTGTTCATGGCGATGTAGCGGCAGGCGCGGTAAGCAACATCGCATACTCTCGCAATGTGCATGGGCAAACCGTGCTGGCGGCAACGCTGCAAGAGAAGATCCAAGTCGACCGATTCCTAGAACTTAAGAAGGTCCCAAAGAACCGAATTGGATCATACATCGGAAGAAACAGCCTTCTCACTACGCACGCACTGCCGCCAGACAGTGTCCACGCTCGAGCCCAAGGAGCCCGCGGCGAAGAAGTCCCTGCTGTTAGCCGCTTCCCACCTGCGAGCATACTCACGACGGGCGCGGGCCCAGATACGATACACAGACACGAATAATCCTATCGGTCTGCGACCGCCATCGGGCTTGGCAAGCACGATGAGCAGCAGCACGCGCATCTGCATTGGCAAGCGCCCTGACTTCTCGAACGTGGCGATGGGACGAGAGAGGGCGACAAGCGCCTGATCCGAGAAGTGCTGGAAGTGGCTAACATGGAAGCCGTCGACCGAGGTGGCCGTGTGCTTCGGGAAAATACCTAGAGACACGACGAAGGCCGGCTGGGGTCAACTCGGGCAAGGGCTCGAGCACCTCAAAGCGGGCACCTGTCGCCGGGGGAGCCTGCTGGTCTTCGGCATGCCAAAAACAAGAAAACTTAGCGCATTCGGACTCAAGGAGGGCCTGTGGGTCCGAAACAACTTCGCCTTTCACGCTGAGGGTCGCGGTGGGGGTCCAAGCAGGGGCCCCCCGAACCACCCCATGGGCATGCCGAGCCCCAGACTCAATGTTGGTCTTAAGCCATGACACCCACTTACGTTTCTCAGCATTACGATGTTCGTTCTCGGCCGCAGCTTGGGCCTGGGAGACCGCATCCAGGGCGTATTCAGGTTCACCAGAGACGACGGACTGACCAGGAGGGCTGTGGGTGACGACATCCCTGCAGCGCAGAAGTAGCGCGGCCGCGTGGCCGCTCCACTCTCCCAGCCTGGCAGGGGGATTGAAAAGCTCAGCAGCCGTGGCACAGAGATGGCTGCTGCGTACCGAGCTGTGCTCGGCGCGTCCTGACACTGTCATCTCGATTATACTGCTGCGAGCAAAACGCGGGGAGGAGGGGTGCTCGGGCTCAGCCGTCGACGCTCCTAAGGCGCGCAGCTGCAGCCAAAGCCGGTGCCGATTGCTGAACCAGCGGAGCTGCGAAGCCAACTGCGACGTCGACGAAGCACCTTCCATCGAGGCCGAACTCGGCTGCAGCGCGCTGACCCAGTGCAACTCCGCCTGGCGCCCACGACTGCCGCGGTGCGAAAGGCGGCACTGAAACACTCCTTCGAGCTCCTTTTCAGCCGTGTTGGCCCAATGTTTGTAGATGGTGTCAAGATGACATTGGGTAGCATCAGTCTCTCCACTCTCGGCCGCAGCCTGGGCTCGGGAGGCCAACCGATCCAAAACTCCCCATTCAAAGGGGGGCTCAGGGCAAGGTCCCGCGGGCCGACTAGTTGGCAAGGGTGGGGGTCGTCGAAAGGTCAAAGCTTTGAGAGACGCAAGGGAGGGGTGAAAGGTGAGGGAGACAGGGTCATGCGTCGCTAACTCCGAATCGCTCACTATCTCCACGCCTTTAATCCCCTGCGCCAGGCGGGAGCAACAAAGGAAGACATCGAACATATTCACGCCCCCAGTGCTGCGACAGGTGCCCTCGACACCAGGGGGGTGCACACTGTCAGCTCCCATCCTTCGGTGAATCCCCGAGCCTGCTAGCACGGCGGGCTCCAAGTTGAAGTCGGCACCGACAAGGAACGGCACAGACATGCTCTTTGCTCGCGCCGCTACGCCAGCAATACTACCCTGATTGAAATCGCTAAGTCAAACACAATCCTGCAGGTAGGCACTAACAACGTAGAGATAGGCCTGACCTGGGAGGTGGACGAGAGCACCGAGGGCCCTGTGGGGCCGAATCGTGGGACCAAAATCGGGGCGGTGCAACCCGAGGGAGGACCTAACCAGGACCCCGACCCCAGCCGAAGGCCCCCCCCCCAGGCCTCAGGGCTCCAGGTTCGAAGCTGGCTTCCCACCCGTTTCGCACGCACCAGGCCGAAGCCTCCCTAATGTCCTCAGCGCTTATGAGCTTGTGCTCCTGGACGAGCACGATGTGGGCCGAGGTAATTCCCAAAAATGGTTGGAGCGAGCTCCAAGCCGTGCCGTTAGCCGTCACTATCTCCAGTTCAATCGACTCATTAGCAGCAACAAAATCTCCACGGTTCCAAAGGCGATGCTGACGCGGATTCCGTGGGGCATCCAAAACTGCGCAGGAGGTAGGGAGTCTAGGGTCGGAGGAAGGTGATGGCACGGCACTGGTCTGGCTAGGAGCAAACCGCCCCCCTGGCTGGGGGGCCCGCTGGTGGCGGCGCCTTCCCGTCTGGGACCGCGGGGGGCGCCTTGTTCGGTGCCCTACTGATCGCCGCACGAGCCTGGGCACGGACAGAAACGCCAGGCTTGGAAGGCGGGGCGCCTGGGGCAACAGGCGGCGCAGGGGCGGCCTTGCTTCCAGCAGCCGAGGCCGACGCCCCCGATGCCCCAGAGGCGGCAGCGGCGTCTCCTGCAGGTGCACCAGCAGCAGCAGGTTCGGCGTCCGTCTTCCGCTTCTTCTCGAGCCGCTTGGCCTGCTCCTGGTGGTTCTTCTTAGGCTCGACGCACTTAGCCTGAACCTCCCCGAACAGGGCCGTCGTGAGGGTAGTGATGAGCTCTGATAACTGCTCCTTCCGCGACCGGGCTTCACGTTGGTCTTCTGGGGTAACGTCCTGGAACTCCGCCAACCCAAACATGTCGCCGTCGTCGAGCACGAACGAGGACAGCTTGCCATCCAGGATGTCCTGCAGGCGCAGCACTGGGGCGGCTGGGGCCTCCTGCTGTGGCTGAGACGGCTGGACCGTGACAGACAGGTGCAGCTCTGATATGGCAGACTTGTACTCCTGATCGTTTCGCTCAAGCTCCTGCAGCGTGGCCTCCACGTCCGCGCGCTGCTGAACCAACTTTCGTTCAAGGCCGTGGACGTGGTCCAGATCGCGATCCAACTTCTTCTCGAGCCGCTGGATCTCTTTGAAGGCCGCGTCCGCCCGTTGCTGCGGGGGCGGAGGGGCTTGCGCCAACTGGGCCACCTTCTCTTGCGCCAAGGATAGCAGAGACGCGTCCCCCACCTTGGCGCTGAGCTCCACCAGCTGCTGCAACTCAGACTTGGTCGCAGTCGGGGCGGAAACAGGCCGCGCGGGTGGAGGCCTTCCCGACACTGCGTCTGCTGCAGCACGACGAACTTCAGCAGCAGCCGCTCCTCGGGGGACACCTCCACCTCTGGCCTGACCGTCACCTGGAACGGGCTCAGTCCACTTCTTACCGCAGTGTTTGCACCACGTGTAGTTCCCCAAATTCTTGCGGCATCCGCAATGCCCGCAAGTCCACTTCTTGGTGGCGTCGTAGCCGCTACGAGGCTTGCCACCAGGAGCCATCGCAGCGCCGCCGTGAGAGGAAAGGGTGTCCGAGCCACTCTGGCCCGCGAACACCCAGCCGTTCTGAAAATCGGTGATCGCATGCACAAAAATGAATTGTGCCAGAACGGCTAGGAGGAGGAGGAGGAGGAGGAGGAGGAGGAGGAGGAGGAGGAGGAGGAGGAGGAGAAGCGAGGGAGGGAGGGAGGGAGGGAGGGAGGGATGAGGAAGAGGAGGAGGGGACGAGGAAGAGGAGGAGGAGGTCCTCCCCCTCCTCCCTGCTCCACCGTCCTGCCCATGGTAGCGGTGGTGGAACCTTGGCCGATCGCCCGTGGCGACGCCCCCGAGGGAGTCTCGAAGCCCGTGGGTCCGTCGGCGCTTCGTGGCCCCGCCGAGCCGCGCGGCGGCGCGCAGCGCGGCGAGGACGCGGAGGTGCGCCGCCAGCAGCAGGCAGCTGGCGCCCCACACGGCGGGGCGCACGGGGAACCCGCGGAACTCGAGGAGGTAGGCCCACAGGAGCCAGTGCACCTCGGGGGCGGGTCCGACCGCCTGCCAAACCACCCCGACCCAACCCGAAGGCCCGAACTTCGGGTTTGGGGGGTGTACGGGCTCCAGATGTGTTTCGCCGAGGTTCCGCGACCTCCCCGCCCCTGGAGATGGAGGGCACACTGAGGCCTTCGGGTTGGGTTGGGGCGGTCTGGTATGTGGTGAGGGTCGGCGGAGGGGTCTGGGGGGGCAAGAATTGTATCTTTATCCGGTGCGTGTTGGACTTTCTTGGAAAGGGCGCCACAAGGCCGAGGCGCACTGGATATGGATAGACATCGAACCTCCATGGTTAGGTCGGGCATGCCCCCCTAAAGGCGGACCTTGGGCAACAATTCTCAAAAATGGTTCAAAAAAAGTCCCACGACTATTTATTATACTATTTTTGAATATTCCTCCTGTAGGGGGACAGGCCCGACTGAACTCTATGGGTGGCAACTTTATCCATATCCAGTGCACCTCGGGATTCTGGGGAAGGGAACACGAAACTCCATACTGCAGCGGATATGGACAGAGCAATTGCCCGCAGAGGAGCCTCGGGGGCGTCCAGAAAAAAAGGGGGGGTCCGCAGAGGCCTCCCAAAATGGGGTTGGAGAATCGCGCCGCATCGCCGATGCATCGGCGACGTCGGCGTGGGCAGAGCGAGCGAGTTCCACATCGAACCACATCGCCGATGCATCGGCGATGCGGTGCGATCTTCCGAACCCATCTAATCGGACCTGATATGGAAGGCCTATAACCCCAAAGGGGGGCGTCCAAGAGCGCAGGTGCGCACAATAGTCGGAGACACGTGCGCGGAAGAGGGGGCGAGGTGACGTATTGAAACGAAGGATGTGCCATGACATGTGACTATATATGATGGCCTTGGCCATGGTATCCCCCTGGAGGTCAGTGTGGTTCGGCGATAACGTGGGATATCTGGTGGGGAACGGGGCGGCGTATAACCGTTTTCGGTTGATACAACCCCACGTGTGCCCGCGCGCACCAACACTGCGTACCCGCTTCGGACATGCGCAACCGACAAGATCAGTTCTTCCAGGGAGAAAGGGGACGGACGGGCGGGCCCGATAACCAAGGCTATCGCCAGACAACAAAAAACACCACCCGGTCATCACTCACCCCCCTGCTGGACGCCCCAGGATATCGAGAGCCCCAGCCCCTGAACGCCCCCCTGGACAAGGTTTGGAACAAACTTCTGCGAAGGGGGATTAGCGTTTCCGGGCGTCGCAGCAAACATCCCAGCGGCCACTTTGGACGTCCCCCACATGGGAACCGATACGATGGGGCCGGAAGAAAGCGCCTCATCGCCGGCGCATCGGCGATGCAACGTCGACGTCGGCGATTCATCGGCGACATCGACCCCGAGAAAATCGGGCCACACATCGGGCCGCATCGCCACTGCATCGGCGATGCGGCGCGGTTTTTGTTGTCGTTCGCTCGGATCCCATATGGGCGGCATGGAAAATCGCGCCCGCAACTCCCAGCTTCTGGGGGTCGCTTCCCGGCACCGGGACAGCCAAACAACACGCAGGATGAAAAACAGTGCCGTGGAAAACGGCCCGCCTTGAGCAAATTACACTGCTACGCGCCTAGCCCATTTGCAACATAACAATGCGAATTTGCCAAAAATCCCAGGAACGACGACAGCGCAAGCGCCGTCATTCGTCGTGCAAAATATACGGGATGCGCGCACGCTGCGCTACTCAGAGGATATCGACAGAAGGACGCCCGAAAAAAGGACGGGAAAAGGGGAGGAAAAAAATGACGGAACGGGGGGCCGAAAAGCCAGCGCGTCAGCAGCAAACGTAGCAGGGATGAGGTGGCAGGAAGAAAAGAATGACGACGAACTGGGCGGGATGATCAAGAACAGCTGGGTTGTTTTCCCACAGTGCGCGCTGGACATGCAACGTTGCCTGCGCCATGCCGCCGCGCAGGCCCCGCAAAGGAACATCAACAGATAGTTACCGCCAACAGCGAGCGAGTGCTTGCTCGCCCGGCGGCCCCCCGAAACGCCTCCTGCACTCTTCACTGCGGAAACTAAACGCCCGCAGGGGCGCCACCATGTCCGCGGGCGGCCCGCGGGCAAAGAAATCAATGCCGGCGTCGCGTGTCATCAAAGGGTTTGTCCACCGTCGCCAGATTGGACAACATCACGTAGACGAGCAACCAGAGGGCGTCCAGGTCCCCCACATCCTTACACATGGCGTCGACCCACTACGCTGTCCCCCCACACCCCTGGAAATTGGCGACCGCTTAGGAACTCACGCCGCCCCAGGGCTGGCGAGGTATAGTCGGAATCTGCGCCTGGTACCCACCATGCCGGCCGCCTCAACAGCTACCGAATACGACGACCGTTTCGCAACTCGTGGCCCCCCCAAGGCTGGCGAGGTCTATATTGAACATGCGCCTGGTATCCAACGTGCTGGCCCCCTCATCAGCCCTCGAGGATGACGACCGAATCGCAGTTCGTAGTCTCTTCAAGGATGGCGAGGTCTCGTCTGAATTTGCGCCTGGTAACCCACCATGCTGCCCCCCAACAACCTTCGAAAACGGCGACCGCTTCGCAACTCGCAACCCTCATGGCTGGCGAGATCTAGTCGACGTCTGCACCTGTTACCCGAAATGTTGGCCCCGTGCACCGCCATCGAAAGTGACGACAATTTCGCGGGTCGCCCCCCCCATGGACTGGCGAGGTTAAGTAAAACCTGTGCGTGGTACACACTATGTCGCCCCCTTCAACAACCCTCAAAAAGGGGCATCCGTTTTGCAGTTCGCAACCCATCCAGGGATGGCGATGTCTACTCTGAAGCTGTGCCTGGTGCCCACCATGCTGCCCCCCCCAACAGCCATCGAATGTGGCGACGGTTTCGCAAATCGACGACCCCGCAGGGATGGCGAGGTATCGCAGGACGGCGAGGTAGGAGCCAGGCTGACAGGCAGAACAGGATGAGGAGGAGGAGGTGACAGGCACGAAGGTAGAGATGAGGACAGGCGGGAAGATGGTGCGACCGCGATGCTCCCGACGCAGGGGCAGTGCGGAACAAACATTAAAACGATGCCAAACAACGGAGAAAGGGTGACGCCAATCGCACGGACCCACTCAGGAGAGGAGCGGGGGAGGTGTCGAAAGGCAACAGAGCAGAGGGAAAGAGAGAGAACTATATATATATATAGAGGAGAGAGAGAGAGAGAGAGAGAGAGAGAGAGATATAAACAAAGAGAGAGAGAGAGAGAGAGAGAGAGAGAGAGAGAGAGAGAGAGAGAGAGAGAGAGAGAAAAACAACAAACAAAAAAAAAGAGAGAGAGAGAGCAAAAGAGAGAAACATAAAAACAAAACAAATGGGGGGAGCAAGCGGCGGCGAACACGGAAAGGTGGGGGGGGGGGGGCAAGGAGGAGAGGGAGGGAAGGATCAGGCGACGCGAGATCTCCTCCCTTTCTCCCTCCTCCTCCTCCTGTTTCTGGCTCTTCTCCTCGTCCTGTCAGAGGAGCGATGGGAGGGGGAGGAGGAGGAGGAGGAAGAGGAGGAGGAGGAGGAGGAAAAAGAAAAGGACGAGGAGGAGGAGGAGGAGGGGGACGAGGAGGAGGGGGACGAGGGGGAAGAGGGGGAGGAATGGATGAATGAACGCATAGGCTCCTGAATTCTGTGAACCGAGATCAACCTGGAACGCAACCTTGCCAAAACATTAAAAATTGACTCGCCACGGAAGAAGATTCTGAGCCGGATCCCTTCTGGAATCCTCCGAGAGTTAGCACGGTCCTGCACCGCGCTCTGCACCAGGCAGCACAGGCCCAGGCCCGCACTCTGGCCCGCACGCAGCAGACTCGGCGAGGCGGGCCCCAAAGGCGCGAGGTGCCTCAACCTTCGATCCTCCCCCCCCGCCCACTCCCCCGCCCACTCCCGCGACCGCGGCCCCGCCCCCTCTCCTCTGATAGCTAGGGCGAAAAGCAACAGGAGTGCTTGGCAGCGGTTCGTGCGCATGCACGTGAAGTCGGCTCTGTAACGCGCTCAGTGCGTCAGGCACAGTCTGTCCTCGATCGACCTACTCGCGAAGACGATGCGACTGTCCCATGGCACCTCTCGTTTTCCGTTGCCGATTACTTTGCTGCTCTCCCGCTCTGACGGCCCCTTTGGGGCAGAACCTGAAAGGCAACTCGACCCCTGCAGGATCGCCATCTCCTTCATTGCCTCCCCTCATTGCTTTCCCGAGCGGGGTCTCCCACGCGAAGATCATCAGATGGGTGGCCTTCTGGGGCTGGCCCTCGATAGTCTTGAAGCCTGAGACGGAAATAAGGGGTCGCGCGTGCCGTGGCCTGAATGGGCGCCCCCTTGATGTTGTTGTTCCAGAGGGCGGTGAACTTGTGGTTGTCCTCCTCCTCTTGCTTCATCTGCTGCTCTTCTCCAATCTTTTACGGCGCGATCCGCCCAATGCCGTGATGCTGCTGCTGCTTTCTGGATGCGCGGTGGGCCCCATCGCTTCGAAGTCCACGTCCTCGCCGCTGTGCTTCTCCGCAAGGCGCTGACTCTCCCCGTCGCAAGCCCCCCCCCCCCCCTGTCTGCGCGACGCTCGGCGCCGGCGCGCCTCCTGCCAGGATCGCGCAGCGTGCGAACGCGGTTGAAGAACTGTCTGCCGCCCCTCGAGCCACCGCCACGGGGGGCCGAGAAATCGGGGCGATGAGCTTCGTCGGGGCGCCACTGCCGCCCTGCTTCTGCGCCTCGGGGCCAACGGCCCCGCCCTCGGCCCCGACCGCGTCGGCAGCGCCCTCGCCCCTGCCCCGCGCCGCGCGCGTGTCCCCGCTGAGCCGCGATGGGGCGCTGGAGCGGCATCTGCTCTTGCGCCTGCGTGGCCAGCCGCGGCGTCGAGCGACGGGCTCGACCGGCGCAGGGGCGCGGAAGGCGATGCGGGCGCAGAGGCCGTCAAAGCTCGAGCCTCCGCAATGACGCGCAGGGCGCGCCAGAGACGCCGGGAGCGCGGCCGTCGTTAGGCAGGAAAGCTGGCGGCCCACGAGTCCGGCCACGACCTCCCCATCAATCCCTGGAGGTGGCGACCAGCGTTCGAGGCGCCGCAAGGGCGCCCGCGAGGTCGCGGGCGCCGCGCGCTTGCTCCGCGCGATTTATCAGCTCGCTGCGCGACGAGAAGCCCTCTCCGCATTCACATCCATCTCCCCGTCGATCGCAGCGCTGGGAAGGGCGGGGCGCTGGGGGCTCGAGATAGCGGCAGCGCGGCCCATCATGCGTTCCAGAGACGCATCCTGGAGGCGCAGTACTTCTCGACAACGACAGCTTGTCCCTGTCTGAGCGATATCCAAGGCCGCGAGCCCCGAATACGTTTCAGCATCAATAAAAAGCCGCTGGTCGTCCGCTAGGTCGCCCAGTCCACCACCGCCCGAAAACTTCGAAATACAAACCCAATCCCTCAATACTTGTCGGGCCCAGGGCGATGGGGACTGCGCGGGGCCACCGGCGGCGAGTTGCGGCTGCGCGCAAAGGGCATGCTATCTGAAAATGGTTCCGACCATTACGAACCCAACCGTGACAGACCAACCCAGAGACGTCGAATAAGCACCCCGATACTGCTAGGGGCTACCATCCGACACTTGAAACCTGAGACGCGCCCACAATCCTGACATTGATGTCGCCTGGCCCCTGGGAGGGGCCAACCCTTGCATCTTCCGGGCAAGGTGAATACCTGACTCGCGCTTTCCCCGTCGTCGCAAGCCCCCCCATCGCCGCCAATCCCTTGCCCAGCCCGGCACAATCGGACTGGCCGAGGACGCGGGCCCTCAGCCCACTTGGGACCGCATTATGAGCGAAGCCGACGAGCAAGAGACGCTTGAATCTGCGCGACGGGGGGGGGGGCCAAATTCCCCCGAGGCAGCGAAAAGAAACGCGCGCGGCCAATAGTCCCCTCGCGACCTCTCGAGACGCCGCCTCGCGAACAACCGCGCGCGGACCGAGGCGGCGCGCGGCGTCGCGGGCAGCGCCCGAGGGGGGCGAAGATCGTCGCGAACACGCGCCCTGCTAAGCGCGCACCCCCCACTGCCGTATTTGTTGAAAATCTTAACACCCCTTAGCGCGCAGCGACTCATCGGGCGCGCTTGACTTCTGGGGAAACTGCGCCGTGCTAGAACCTGGATTTGCCAAGCAAGACCCATGTGGATCGTCAGCGTGCTTCGTCAATGAGAGGTCTGCCTGACGCCCCCCCAGCAGGCGACGAGCTCCGTTGCGCGCGGGCCCTGGCCCAACGGACCTCCGCCCCAGCGCAGGATCGGGCGCGCGAAGGTGTTCGGGAACATGGGGGAAATAAACGGACCCCCGATCGTGCCCCCCCATGCCTCGGCCCAGCAACCAACTCACCTGCGCTGGGCGGGGGCGCTGCAAATGAATGCAGGAAGCGTTGTTTACATATCTCCATATTGTCCTCGCGACAGTGGTTGTCGACCGAAAACGCCATTTCGCGATGAGTATTACTGGCAAAGGCATTCGACGAATCCTTAGAACATGCGCGGCACGCGCGTGTCACTGCCCACATCTTCCACAGCGCGTTCACTGAGACACCCGCCGCCTCCCCCCTCCTCCTCCCCGACGCGAAGCCGTTACCTTGGACCGTGGAAAGGGGGGATTATCTTCTTGGCGTAATACCCTTTCCCGAAAACAAGCAGCGCGCGCGACGTGCTTCCCAAGCAGGCCATCGACATGAGATCAACGTAGTGCACTCGCTTGGTTTGTGCGCCAATTGGGAGGGGTAAGTTCATGTAGTCGTATTTTCGGAAAGCCTGCATTCAATAGGACCCATAACGTCTTGTGATCAGGTGGTGGTAAATCTAGCCCGAAGCCGAACTTGCCCTGTACCCGCCAGTTGGGGAACAGAGCCACGTGCCACAGCTCCAGTGGCGCAGTATTCACGGGGGCAATATTACGCCTCGGGGCGGATGTCATACATCCCCAGGACGAAAGTTTTCCCTGTTGGGCCCGGAACGACGGTGTGAAATCTTGAGCGGACCCGTATGAGATAACCGCCGTCGGATCCCATGAAGTTCGCGCGGGTCCAAATGTGGTTTTGGTGTTTGTCTCGGTGGATCCGATTACCGTCCGTACGGATCCGATTTCGGATTCGGTGGATCCGTGTCCGGTCTTATTTTTTACGGCGGATCCGATTTCTACCCTGTTTAAAATTTATAGTATTAAATTAAAACAGGAGGCCGGAAGAAATCGGATCCGCGGACCCCGCAAACCGCCCGTGTTAAGAATCTATTGGGGAGGGGGGTTCGGTGACCAACTTTCCACGATGGGCCCTGCGTCGTCTCGCGCACTCCCCGCGCGAGCGGGCCCCATTCAACATGAGTACATACATCCCTCCCCCCCCGGCTGCTGCAAAACAGCTCGTCCGGTCGCCGTCCATTCGGCGGCGCCGACGTTGTCTCGCGAACTCCTTATGGCCATTTGCACCTCAAGAAGAGGAAAATCTTTCGTCCTGCGTAAGTATGTTTACGGAAGTCTTGTGGGTCCTGGGAGGCGGCCGCGACCGAATCGGCGTCGGTGGGGCCATGATCGAAGCGAGCGCCTTCCCGATCAAGCTCCCAATGGTCCCATGAAAACGTCCCCACATGCATCCGTCCCTCGGCGCCTGGACGTCGCAATAGATCGAACCAATCAGGACGGGTCGAATGGGAACTGCACGCCTGACGGGCACCCCTCCGCTTCGGCCCGGATCTGCCACGGGCTGCCCGCCTACAGCCGCAATCCTGCGTCTTTGCCAACATTCTAAGGCTTCTTCGACAAAAGGAGCCCTGTGCCAACGCAGACGACTACGCTTTTCACGATGGAGCTCCGACGAGAGCTTCTTCAATTCCACCTCCACCTCCTCAGCCTCTTCCTCCGTACTTTCGAACTTCTGCCCACGAAGCTCAATTCGACGACGCAATAAGTCACGACGGCACCGACAATCCCTCGCATGGTCGGGTCTCATCGGATTGTCTTTTACGGAACGTTGCCCCCCTGCATTCACCAGAGATGTCTCGAGGAGCTCAGATATAGTATCAAGAGGGGCGTGGTCCCGAATGTATTGCAGATCGGCCGTTGGTAAAGATATGTCCCGATCCGACCTCCTCGCTTAAAGCGAAGGAACAGCGAGACAGGGCGATGACACGTGGGGTGCTCCTCTGATCGGCTGGAACTTGGCCCCCAACCCTCTGATGGGGGTGGCATTGCATACCTGATCTACGAGTCCCAGAGGAAAAACTAATATCATCGATTCTGGTGGGGCAACATGTTTACAGCAAACATTTGGTGTCGTTCCAACAGGTCCCGAGAAATTCGCCAATTCCCCCAATAAGTTTTTGGAGGGCGGAGGTCCCGACAGCGCTACTCTCGATCTCCTGGAACGAGCCGTTGCGCATTTTCCCCCAAGGCATCGTTCACATCCGCTTATGACCGGTACGCACTGCACGGGGAAGCTTCCCAAGGCACAATCCATCCAGGTGTTCAGGATCCCCACCGTACGATAATACCCCGCACGCTTCGTATTCCGAGATTTGGAGGGGAGAGGCGGGTAGTAGAAGCATATAGCTCACAAATCATCAAGCCCGTGTTTAATCCTGACAGCCAGGGCCCTACCAGGGGCCATCTCGGGACTGAACCGGATCAGCTCGACGTCTTCTGCCCGAAAATGAGGTCCAAAGGCGACCAGGGTCCCACAGCTGTTGTTGGAATGCTGAGCTTCTGCGTGCGGAATTTCTGGTCTCGTCCAGGATGTCACTTAGCTGATCTTCAGTCGCCCACATGGGGCCTCAGCCGAGGATCCGAAGCGAGGGCTCGGACATGAATCCCCACCAGCAGGAGACTCTCGCGACCATGGCGTGGACAAGCGGTCTGTGGCAGAAACCGGGGGTGCGATGTTTCTGCCCTACAAACCCGAAGCTATGTCACCAGGGCCTCCGTGGGCTTGGAGGGGGAGGAGAAGGCGTAGGAGGCGGAGGCGGAGGAGGCGGAGGAGGAGTGGGCGAGCGATGCAGCCACTTGGGCTTTGGCCGGCCGAGGGCCCGCCTCCGCGGCGGCCCAGAGCAGCAGCGCGCGAGTCGGCGGCCGCCTCGGGGCGAGCCAGGGGAGGGCCAGCGGCAACATGGCCCACCACCAGACAAAGTACTGCGCCGTGAGGACCTCGCGTCTGTGCGCTGCGTCCTCCCGCCATCCTCCCCCGTCCACCTCCGCCTCCCCTCCCCTCAACCTTCTCCACCTCCCCTCCACCTCCACCTCGCCCCTCCACTCCTCTCAAACTCCACATCCCCCCCTCTCCACCCGCAAGACTCAGGACTGGTGGCACTGGGGGGCGGTGATGAACGCTACCTTCCCCTCCTCCTCCTCTTCCTTCTCGCCTCCTGACCCGCTCTACCCACCCTCTCCTGTTTCCTTTCTCCGTCGCGCCTTTTTAAACATTGCCGGCTCCATTGCTCCCTCCGCTTCTCCCTCCCCTCCCTCGTTTTGGTGCCCTTCGTTCAAAGGTTCCCTCCTTCGTGATCCCACCTTTGCTCCCCGTGTTCTTCTTTCACCCTTCGTCCCAGCCCACCCTTCGTCCCCGCCCTCCGGGCGAAACACCAGATAGTCGCCGTTTGACAACAACATCAACAACAACAACACCAACAACAACAACAACAACAACAACAACAACAACAACAACAACAACAACAACAACAACTACTACTACTACTACTACTACTACTACTACGACTACGACTACGACTACGACTACGACTACGACTACGACTACGACTACGACTACGACTACGACTACGACTACGACTACGACTACGACTACGACTACTACTACTACTACTACTACTACTACGACTACGACTACGACTACGACTACGACTACGACTACGACTACGACTACGACTACGACTACGACTACGACTACGACTACGACTACGACTACGACTACGACTACTACTACGACTACTACTACTACTACTACTACTACTACTACTACTACTACTACTACTACTACTACTACTACTACTACTACTACTACTACTACTACTACTACTACGACTACTACGACGACTACTACTACTACTACTACTACTACTACTACTACTACTACTACTACTACTACTACTACTACTACTACTACGACTACTACTACTACTACTACTACTACTACTACTACTACTACTACTACTACTACTACTACTACTACTACTACTACTACTACTACTACTACTACTACTACTACTACTACTACTACTACTACTACTACTACTACTACTACTACTACTACTACTACGACTACTACTACTACTACTACTACTACTACTACTACTACTACTACTACTACTACTACTACTACTACTACTACTACTACTACCACTACCACTACCACTACCACTACCACTACCACTACCACTACCACTACCACTACCACTACCACTACCACTACCACTACCACTACCACTACCACTACCACTACCACTACTACTACTACTACACTACTACTACTACCACTACCACTACCACTACCACTACCACTACTACCACTACCACTACCACTACCACTACCACTACCACTACCACTACCACTACCACTACCACTACCACTACTACTACTACTACTACTACTACTACTACTACTACTACTACTACTACTACTGCTACTACAGGGGCGGTGAACCGACACCCACACGCCTCGAACTTCCTCGCCGACATGCCTCCCCGCAATCCTCGTCATGGTCCTCCAGCCGTCTTTCCTCCCACTGCGCGTGAGCAGGAGGCACAGACGGCAGAGAAGGAGCGTCCCCAGCTCTCTATCGCGCTGGTCGAACGCAAAATCTGAAAAGAAGGGAGACGCCGACCATGCCCGGGATGAGCCTGCGCAGGCCTGCCCCCTGCCCCCCCCGTCCGTCCGCCTCCTCTCCTGCTTCGCCTATTGTCCAACCCCCAACCCCGCCTCCTACCACCAGACCGCGCCACACCCTCTGCCAAGAATGGTGCACCCAGCTCGCCCGCTCACAGTTCGCCTGTCTGACTACTGCTTCCCTCTCCCTCCCTGGCTCTGTCCAGAAGATGCCCGCCCCTCACCGCGTACTGTTTTATACACCGGATGTCACGGTGTTGTTGTCTTATGTGTCATGGGAACGTTTTTCCTCGGCGTGTCGACATTGGGCAGAAAAGGGGGGCGGGGGAGGGGGTGGTCTGGCTCGGGACATCTGCTTAGTGCGACTGTTTGCAGCAGTGCTGCCTTTGGGGAAGAGACTCCACCTCCTCGAAACAGGCGCCAAAAACAGCCAAGATCAGAAGAAAATAATGAATAAAACAACGATCACTTTGTACACCGGATTTCAAGAGGTTGCTTTTCATATGTGTCATCCCGATTGCTTTCGGTGTCTCAACCTGGTCTTCCCGCTTTAATCGTAGGCCTCGTGTTCGGAAAGGCGCTGTGATCCCCTCGTTCAGAAAATGGCGCTTTGTCGCACCAGCGCGGGCAAACCTTCTGGATCCGATCTCTTCGTCGGCGTTGTCGCCACCTCATTTCCCTTCCGGCTTCCCCTACTCTGGGTTTCTTAATAAGCGTGGGGAGTACACCCCCGACGGGGGTCAACCTCGCCTCGTCGTCGCTCCGCGACGGGGGTCGGAGCGTCTTCGGCGCGCCGTGGCCGTCGCGACGGGGATCGATGTTGGGCCGTCGGCGGGGATGACGCCCCCCCGACGCTTATTAAGAGACTCGGAGTAATCATTGTTGCTCTTCCCACCTCTTCCACTGGAGCTCCTGCTGCTGATGTTCGGCCTCGTCCTGCTACCTCATCGGCCTTTCCCTCATGCGCATCCTCCTGCTCACCCGCAACCTCCTCCTAGTTCTATGCGCGCAGCTCCCCCTGCCTGACTGCGAATAATACTATGGGGCGTTGTTTGGAAGTTCCACGTCGGCTATGACACGCGTCCACGGGTGGTGAACGAACCAGCGCAGTGGGAACGGATGGGAGGAGTGGATCGGATACCAGGTGTGGCGCGAGCGCACCTAGTCCAAACGTCCGTCCTCTCCACCTCCTTGGTTTCATCCTCCTTCAATTTCTGCAAGCGCCTGCTGAAATCCTTCTGCTCGCGCAGACCAATCCTCCCCCACACACAGCCTCATCCCGCTCATCCACCTCCTTTGTTTCCTCCTACCCCTGCTTATTTTGCTCCCCTTCCTCCTTCTCCCATCACCGCCATCATCAGCAGCACCAACATCATATAAACCACCGTCATCACAACCATCACTACCTTCATCGTACTCCTGCTCGCCACGCGTATGCTCATCCCCCCGCCAGTTCCTCGTAATCCCCACCATCTCCTGGGACACCCTCGTATCTCCTCGTCCGCTGGGCGTTGCTCGATTGCGAAGGGGGATAGACGGGGGGAGGGGGAGCAACGTGCACCTCCAGTGCCCCTTTCGTGCCCTGCAGAGCTCAAGTCGCCCACTGATCGCCCCTCCCCTAACCACAGTAAAAATGAAGAACTCCCCCGACGAGGGGGCATCCAATTCACGGACCAGCGGCGCCCCACCAGTAAGGGGAAACATAGTATTGTCTCCTCGCGGGAACCGGCGCGCAACAACGATGACGACAGTTACGACTACGATTGCGACTACGAGTGCGACGGCTACTTGTACTCATGTCTGAGGATCGCTCCCACAAACAATCCTCCCTCAGAAACTCGATTCCCGGCAATCCTCTGGAAGCCCTCGGAAACTCCAACCTCAGAAGCTCTACCCTCAGAAAGATTATGAGCAACGCCTTCTGCGAATAGCGGGCCTATCTAAATTGCAATCCTCTTACCAACGTACTCCAAATTCTTGTCGCGCAGGGTCGCCCAGGGGGGCATTGTCCCTGGGAGAAAGACACCCCCAACACTATCCAACCCGCCCAACAATAGAGGGAAAATGATCTCCGCAACTACGACAACGCTTTCACCTACGATAGAGATTCCGATTGCGATTCCGACGAATACAACCACGACGACGATTACGACTACAATCGCGATTAGAATCGCGCGTGCAAGCACGAGTCGAATCACGCCAACCATCACGACTACAACCACAAGCGCTGATCCCCATTGCTATCCTCGTAAGACGATGCTCACACATTCTCTCAAGTCCCGGATTGCTCACAATGGATTATTCCCTGGGAAGATGAGAACCAAAGAGACTTCAGCACGCCCAACGATGGAAAGAATAACAAGCACAGCCGAGACGATGACAGCGACGACTGGGACGAAGACAACCGCTTGGCAGTCATGGAAGTAATTATGGTAGTAGTAGTAGTAGTAGTAGCAGTAGCAGTCGCAGTACTAGTTGTAGTCGGAGTCGTAGAATTCCTCCAAGAAGTCGTAGAACAAGTGATAATAGTAGTAGTAGTAGTAGTAGTAGTAGTAGTAGTAGTAGTAGTAGTAATAGTAGTAGTAGTAATAGTAGTAGTATTAGTCGTAGTAGTAGTAATAGTAGTAGTAATAGTAGTACTAGAAGTAGTAGTAGTAGTAGTAGTAGTAGTAGTAGTAGTAGTAGTTGATGTTGTAGTCGTCGTCGTAGTAGTAGTAGTAGTAGTAGTAGTAGTAGTAGTAGTAGAAGTGGTGGTGGTAGTAGTAATAATGCTAGAAGAAGTAATAGTAGTAGTACTAGTAGTAGTAGTAGCAGTAGTAGTAGTGGTAGTAGAAAACAACGTAGTACGAAAGGCGCGAACATTAATAGTAGTAGTCGTCACCGTAGTTGGAAAAGTACGACTCGCAGAAGTAGTCGTAGTGGTAGTGGTAGTAGTTGTCATCTTAGTCGTAGTAGTATTAGTGGGACTGGGGAGTACCAGTATTAGTATAGGTAAACAGTAATCGTATAACTAACGTAAAATAAGTAGCGATCGTAGCCGTAGTCGTGGTAGTAGTAGTAGTAGTAGTAGTAGTAGTAGTAGTAGCAGCAGGGGTAGTAGTGATAGTAGAAAACATACTAAGAGTGCTCGTAGCACTGGTAGTCAAAATCGTAGCAATCGGATTCGCAGTAATAATCGTTCTAGCAGTAGTAGTAGTAGTAGTAGTAGTAGTAGTAATAGTAGTAGTAGTTGCAGCGGAATTAGTCGCAGTCGTACTAATAATCGTATCGTACGAATGGTACTAGTAGTAGTAGTAGTAGTAGTAGT